CTAAAAACTTCTAGTAGATAAGGGTTTAAAAGTATTTCTGCCTTAGTATTTTATTAGAAACAGAAAAATATCAGTGTGTGATTTTTTTTTTTTTTTTTTTTGGAGACAGAGTCTGCTTTGTTGCCAGGCTAGAGTGAGTGCCGTGGGTCAGCCTGCTCACAGCAACCTCAAACTCCTGGCTCAGAATGCATCCTCTGCCTCAGCCTCGAGTAGCTGGGACCTAAGGCATGCGCCACCATGCCCGGCATTATTATTTTTTATTATATATTATTAGTTGGCCAATTAATTTCTTTCTATTTTTATGGTAGAGACGGGGTCTCGCTCAGGCTGGTTTTGAACTCCTGACCTTGAGCAATCCGCCCGCCTCAGCCTCCCAGAGTGCTAGGATTACAGGCGTGAGCCACCGCGCCCGGCTCTCAGTGTGTGATTTTATAAATCGATAGTTGTTTTACTGACCTCTCTGTAACTGAATCTAAATAGCATCCTTTTCCTACTTCTTGAAATTCCTCATCCTTCAAGGCACAAATCACAGTTTCACTGATGTTTCTGGGATTCCCAAGTAGACGTAACTGTTACTTCCCCAGCATTCTTCCAGCACTTATTTATATTTCTAGTCTAGCACTTGTACAGTCCACCTCATTTGGTAGTTAATGTCCATATGTCTCCTGTCTCATTATTTGGGAGCCACCTGAGAGCGAGAAATACATGTAAATATGTTTTTCTAGTACATAGCTGAGTACATTTTGCAGGGTGGGTCTCTGTAGTTGTTAAATTAGATGGAACCAAAGTGCCCCTACTAAAGCTGAGAGGTAGCAGGATGGGATCGGTTACTGAATAACCTAAGGTCCTGTCCCCACAGTGCCAGAACTTGGGGAAGCTGACCACTGTTCAGATTGGTCACGATAACTCAGGACTGTTAGCCAAATGGCTAGTGGATTGTGTCATGGTCAGAAATGAAATCACAGGACATACATACAGGTAAGTAAATGGCCTTGGGAGCTCATAATTCTTTGTTTTGAGACTTTTCAGATAAGTAAATGTTTAAGGGTCCAGGCACCATGGCTCATGCCTATAATCCCAGCACTTTGGGAAGCTGAGGTAGGACAATCACTTGAGGCCAGTTCAAGACCAGCCTGGCAACATAGTGAGACCTTGTCTCTCCAAAAAAATAAAATAAGAAAAATTAGCAAGGCCAAGGATCCCTTGAGGTAAGGAGTCCAAGGCTACAGTGAGCTCTGATCACACCAACCTAGGTGACAGAGCAAGACTCTGTTTAAAAAAAAAGAAAAGGTTTAAGAAATTATTTTCTGGCCGGGCGCGGTGGCTCACGCCTGTAATCCTAGCTCTCTGGGAGGCCGAGGCGGGCGGATTGCTCAAGGTCAGGAGTTCAAAACCAGCCTGAGCAAGAGCGAGACCCCGTCTCTACTATTAATAGAAAGAAATTAATTGATATATATATATATAAAATTAGCCGGGCATGGTGGCACATGCCTGTAGTCCCAGCTACTTGGGAGGCTGAGGCAGAAGGATTACTTGAGCCCAGGAGTTTGAGGTTGCTGTGAGCTAGGCTGAAGTCATGGCACTCACTATAGCCTGGGCAACAAGTGCGACTCTGTCTCAAAAAAAAAAAAAAAGAAAAAAGAAAAAAAAAAAGAAATTATTTTCTTTCTAAAGCTCTTCTGCCTTCTGAAGTTTAGTTTGGTTTTTTGGGGTTTATTTTGTTTTGTTTTTGTTTAAATAATACAAAATTGCCCCAAAAAATATTTTTTAAAAAAACAGATGGCCTTTGCTGCCAATGCTTAGTCCGTAAGTGTTGAAAAGATTGGTATAACTCTCAGGAGAAAAGAGAAAGGAAGCCTAAAATAATTTCAGTAAGATGGAAAGATCTTTTAGATTCTACTAGTTACAGCCAGCGTTACTCTATGAGAACATTCTCCTCTTTTTTCTGTGGTTTAACTCCTACATTAATATCTAGTTTGAAAATATTCTTTCAAACTAACCCGATAATTTTAATACAGATTAAGTATAAGAAAATACTAAAGAATTATGAAGGGAATGATAACGATTTGTGGCTATATAGGAGTGTCCTTATATTTTAGAGATTTGTAATGAAGTGTTTTTAGAGATAAAGTGTCCTAATTTAAAGTACTTCAACAAAAAATAAAAATGAAGCACATGACAAAATGTTAAGTGTCTAGGTGATAAGAAAGAATATGGGTGTCTAATATACTGTTCTCTGCTTTTCTATATTTTGAAATTTTTCATAAATGACCCACAGGCACTAAAATGATGGGCTTCCCCACGGTGCCATCGTTAAAAGTCTGATTGAAACTAGTAAAAACAAATTGGTGATTCGGAAGTTTTGTTCTGTCCTACCAGATTCCCATGTGGGAGATGGCTGGGGAAAGGCATTGACGACGGGAGCCTGGAGAGAATTCTTATTGGAGAACTGATGACGACAGCATCGGATGAGGACCTGGTAAAGCAGTGTAGGACTCCGCCGCAGCAGAAATCGCCCACTGTGGCCAGGAGATTGAGCATCACATCACTGACAGGAAAAACTACTAGTAAGTAGTTGACTTTTTTATTTTCCAGTGTGCCTCCAATGTTGCAGGCTTCATGTGACCATTTTACAGAAAACAGTTGCATTAATGAATTGTGGTAAGGAGATTTAAAAAAGAAGAAAGTTGAGGAAAATTAATTTAGGAGAAGGGACTTTAAAAAAGGAGTGGAAAAAAACAAACAAGGAAAAGGAGGGAGGGAGTAAAGGGGAAAAAATAAAGGTAAGACAGGCGGCGCGCCGGTGGCTCACGCTGCTAATCCTAGCGTTCTGGGGCCGACGGCGGCGGATTGCTCGGGCGGGTCGGCGGGTCGGCGAGTGTCTGAGACCGAGCCCGCTGAGCAAGAGCGAGACCGGCGCGTCTCTACTGATGAATCAGGTGTCAATGAACGTTGATAGAATATATATTAGTTTGAACAAATGTAGCGGGCATCGTCGAGGACGCGTAGTTCCCAGCTACCTTGGGGGCTGAGACAGAGGATCGCTTTAGAGCCCAGGATGTTGACGGTTGCCTGTGAGTGGGGCTGGCTGCCACGCGCACTCACTCTAGGCCTAGGCCACACGCAGACGAGCTCCCTGTTCCTCCACACAAAATAAACATAACATAACGGTAAGACACCTTTAACAGTCCACCAGCCTGAAGAGTTTCTAGCACAATGCTTAACATTGAATACGAAGCAAAAAAAAAACCTCCTGGCGGGCAGCGTGTGTTCACTCCTTCATCCTAAGCTCTCGGAGGCAGGCCGACGGGTGGATCCCGTCTTGAGTTACAGGGAGGTTTGAACCAAGCTCCGAGCAGCCACCGTCTCTCCTATACACCTACAAAAGAATTAATTGCCCACTAATATAGCATCCGAAAATTAGCCGGGCTGGGCTGCTGCCTGTAGTCACCTAAGCCTGGGCGGCTGAGGCGGAAAGGTCGCTTGAGCCCAGGGACTGAGGTTCGCTGTGAGCTAGCGCCTGATTGCCCATCGGTCAAGCTCGCACCTCTCCCTGGCAACAGTGGACTCTGGCCGTGCAAAAACAGAACAAAACAAAAATCGCTGGCTGCCGTATTCCTAACAGTAGGCTGCGTGGCAACGTGTGAGGCAATATGAATAAATATTTTACCTGAAACTGAAAGGAGGAATAAAACAGTCATATATTACAATACTCCTAGATAGCTGTATCTGGCTTTGTGGTACCTCTTATTCTAAGAGATTAAAATTTCTTTCTATCTCTTCCCCCTAACTTTCTTCCTATAGGAATGATGAAACAAAATACTATAAAGGAGTGAGTTTTATGGATAGGATACTATGTTTGCGTGCCATCTTTAGTAGTACAATAAACTTCTAATTTATACTAATATGGACTTCAGTAGACTGAATAATGTCTCCCAAGAATATAAAATCCTAACCCCTAGGATCTGTAAATGTTGCCTTATTTGAAAAAAGGATCTTTGTAGTTGTGTTAAGGACCTCCAGATGCGGAGATCATCCAGGACTACCCAGGTGGGCCCTAAATGCAGTCACGTGTATTCTTACCAGAGGGAGGCAGAGGAAAGTCAGACACTTACACAGAGGTAAAGGCAATGTAAAGACAGAGCCAGAATTGGAGTGATACATCCTCAAACCAAGGAATGCCAATAGCTACCAAAAGCCAAACGAGTCAAGGAAGGGGTTCTTCCCTAGAGCCTCCAGAGAGCACAGCCCTGCTGACACCTTAATTTTTGCCCAGTGATACCGAATTCTGGCCTCTGGCCTCCAGAACTGTGAGAGAATGAATTTCTTTTGTTTTGGCCGGGTGTGGGAGCTCATGCTTGTAATCCTAGCACTCTGGGATCATGTGCTAACAAATGGACATGATGGTATACTAACTACTGGGATGATACAGTCTAAAAATCTGCCCTATTATTGTTCAAATTATTCCCTTGATTCATAATTCCTTTCTACATTCAGAAGTAAACTTCACACCACACACCCACTAGAATGTATAAAGTTAAAATGATTGATAATACCAATTATTGGTAAGGACATGGAGCAGCGGAAAGCTCATACATTGCTAGAGGGAATGCAAAATGAAAAACAAGTTTGTCATTTATAAAGATATATGTATACTTATCATACCCTTGGCCCAACAATCTGAGTCCTAGATATTTACCCAAGAGGAATGAATATGTACATCTACACAAAGACTTGTACACACATGTTCATAGCAGCTTTATTCATAATAGCCACAAATGGAAACAACTGCAATATCCATCAACTGGTGACTGGATAAACAGATTGTGGTACATCTTACTCATTGGAATATGATTCAGCAATAGATAAAAATGAACTACTGTTACATCTAACAATATTAACGAATAACAAAAGCATTATGTTAAGTGAAAGAAACCAGAAACAAAAGACTGCATATTATATGATTGTATTAAATTGTAGAAAAGGCAATATAATAATAATAGACAGAATATCAGTGGTTGCTAGGAGATGGGAGCTGGAGAAGGGGATTGACTAAAATGCGGCATAGGGGAATTTGGGGGGATGAGGGAAATTTTCTGTATGATGATTGTGGTGGTGATTACGTGATTATACATTTGTCAAAGCTCATCAAATTGCATACTTAAAATTGATGATTTTTATTGTATGGTGAATTTTAATTATGCTGATTTAAAATTAAAAAGTAGATTTCAGCTAATTCATCTAAATTATTGCAATTTCTGAATCACTCCAGTTTCATAGGGTATTATTGTTTTGAGAGGCCTTTATAGCTCACGTTTTTTTGTTGTTGCTGTTGCTTTGAGACAGAGTCTCACTCTGTTGCCCGGGCTAGAGTGCCCTGGCATCTGCCTAGCTCACAGCAACCTCAAACTCCTGGACTCAAGCAATCCTTCTGCCTCAGCCTCCTGGGTAGCTGAGACTACCAATGCGCCACCATGCCTGGCTAATTTTTTCTATATATTTTTAGTTGGCCAATTAATTTCTTTTCTATTTTTAGTAGGTCTCACTCTTGCTCAGGCTGGTTTCAAACTCCTGACCTTGAGTGATCTGCCAACCTGGGCGTCCCAGAGTGCTGGGATTACAGGCGTGAGCCACTGGGCCCAGCCTATAGCCCACATTTTTGGTTATATTTTCTTTTCTCACTGAATAAGCAGAAGATTGATTGATTGATTGATTGATTGATTGATTGATTGATTGATTGATTTTTGAGACAGTCTCACCCTGTCACCCTGGCTAAAGTGCCATGGCATTAGCATCGCTCTCACAACAACCTCAAACTGCTGGGCTCAAGCAATCCTCCTGCCTCTGCCTCCCGAGTAGCTGGGACTAGAGGTGTGCACCACCATGCCCAGATAATTTCTTCTATTTTTAGTAGAGATGTGTGCACCACAGTGGCCCAGCCTACAAGCAGAAAATTTTAAATGACTGAAGACTCAGGGATGGGCCAAGCTTAGCAGTTCATGCCTGTAATCCTAGCACTCTGGGAGACATAAGGATTGCTTGAACCCAGGAGTTTGAGGTTGCTGTGAGCTAGGCTGATGCCATGGCACTCTAGCCCAGGCAACACAAGGAGACTCTTTCTCAAAAAAAAAAAATTAGCTGGCAACTAAAAATAGAAAAAAATTACCCAGGCATGATGGCACACACCTGTAGTCCCAGTTACTAGAGAGGCTGAGGCAAGAGGATCGCTTGAGCCCAAGGAGTTTGAGGTTGCAATGAGCTGCAATGATGCCACTGCACTCTAGCCTGGACAACAGAGCGAGACTCTGTCTCCAAAAAAAAGTCCACCAAAATATATACTTTTTCTCTTGTTACTTCTTCTGATCCTAGAGGATAAAATGTTTACCACCTTTTTTATTTTTTAATCATTCTTGAGATTTGGTGGACAAAAGTGGATTAGGTCACATTTAAGCAGCCCACCAACCTGTCGCTCAGGACAGTGCCTAGATTAACAAATGCTGGCTAGAAGAAGAAAGCAGTGCTGAGATAGACTGACTAACCAGGAAGAGAGGGAGTTCTAGGCTTCAGGCTGGGTTGCCACAGAGTACCTGGCATCTTCCCTTCATTTTAAACACAACAGCAAAGCATCAGACCCCAGGTTAGCCAGTCATAGCTTCACAAGCCTTGTTCTATGGCCACTAAGCGGCTGGAGGTAGGTAACGTAAGGGAACATCTAAGGAGTGGTGTTGGGCCTCTTCCCAACCTCACTCCTCATATTGGGGTCTTGCTAGTACTTTATGACAAGTACCATGCCAGGTGATTGACACCTGTAGCTCATTCAGTTTTCCCAGTAAGGTGTGCATTTTCCCTGTTTTCAGCTGAGGAAACTCAAACACAGAGGAAGTTAAACATTGGCTAGAGTTACAGATTGCAAGTGGTAACGCTAGGATGTTGTGAATCTAGGGCTCTCGGATTCTTTTCCATCGTGCCAAGATCCCTCCCACTTGACCAAACTGGCCAGAAGCAAGTTTCACGGAGCTACTGGCAAAGCCAGCCTGCTCTGGTGATGTGTTTTCTGCCTTGGTGGACACAGTTGATATCCTCTGGTACATTGGTTTGTCTCACATGAGAATGCAACCACTGTTCATTATTTTACAGAACCCAACGCTGGGCAGATCCAAGAAGGAATTGGAGAAGCTGTGAACAATATTGTGAAACATTTTCACAAACCTGAAAAAGAGGTATTACAGACTATAAAACCGAATTTTTAAAAATACTTTTATATGTAATACACAAGGCAGTATGAGGTGCTTTAACTTTCATTTGTGAGCTATTTCCTAGTGGCTGTAAAAACATGCTTCATGGCCGGGTGCGGGAGCTCACACCTGTAATCCTAGCACTCTAGGAGTTCGAGACCAGCCTGAGCAAGAGCGAGACCCCGTCTCTACTAACAATAGAAAGAAATCAATTGGCCAACTAAAAATATATAGAAAAAATTAGCCGGGCATGGTGGCGCATGCCTGTAGTCCCAGTTACTTAGGAGGCTGAGGCAAAAGAATTGCTTGAGCCCAGGAGTTTGAGGTTGCTGTGAGCTAGGCAGATGCCACGGCACTCTAGCCTGGGCAACAGAATGAGACTCTGCCTCAAAAAAAAATGTGTCATACAGCTCCCCTCAACACGTGCTTCTCTAGTGTTTTCTTAGACATAGATGCGGCAGATTTTTCATTGTCCCTGTGTGTTATGCTCCACAGAGAGGGAGCCTCACAGTGCTACTCTGTGGAGAAAATGGCCTGGTCGCAGCACTTGAGCAGGTTTTCCACCACGGATTCAGATCCGCTCGCATCTTTCACAAGAATGTCTTCATCTGGGACTTCATAGGTAAATAATGCGGATGTATATTATTATATGATCATTGAAATGTTTCTTAGAAAACTCAAAGACCCATGATTTTGAGTGAATAAAGGTTAATGATAAGGGATCTGTTTTTAAAAATAAATATCAGGCCAGGTGCAGTCGCTCATGCCTATAATCCTAACACTTTGAGAGGCCGAGGTGGGAGGATCACTTTGAGGCCAGGAGTTCAAGACCAACGTGAGATAAAGTATATCGAGATCCTGTTGCTACAAAAAACAGAAAAATATGCAGAGTATGGTAGCTTGTGCCTGTATTCACAGCTACTCAAGAGGCTGAGACAGGAGGATAGCTTGAAACCAGGAATTTGAGATTGCAGTGAGCTGTGATGATACCACTGCACTCTAGGCCAGGCAACAGAGCAAGACTCAAAAAAAACAAAACAAATATTAAAAAATATATATCAAATAAGCGCTATCTTTGTTTTTCATTCACCCAACAAATATTTATACTGTATACAATATTCCAAACAGTCTTCTAGATGCTCAAGATCAGTAAACAAAACAGACAGAAATCCCTATGGTTGACAAACCTATTTTCTGGTACAGGTGGGAGAACAAAAAATACATAAAAATATAATAAATATGTAATTCATATGATATATATGTTAGAAATGTGATCATTGATCTGGAAAAGAATAGAGCAGTGTAAAAAGAAATGGAGTGAGTGCTCTTTTAAGTGGGGTGGTTTTAGGCTCCACTGAATGTCAAGGTGACATTAAAGCACAGACCTTAAGGAGGTAAGGAAGTGAGCCATGTGGATATCTGGGAGAAGGGCACTCCAGTCCGAGAGAGCTGCCAGCGCCAAGGCCGCAAGGTGCAAGCATGCCTGGCCTCTTCATGGAACCACAGGAGACCAGTGTGACTGGAGCAGAGTGAGGGGGAGAGAGAATAGGAGATTGAGGGAAGGAGCGGTCTAGTGCCGGGGCCATGTTGTGTAGGACCTTCTAGGTCACTGAAAGGTCTTTGACCTTTATCCTGAATGAAATTATGAAGCCATTGAGCCTGAGGAATAATATGATACAATTTATTTTTTAAAAGATTTCTTTAGCTCTTATGTTGTTCAATTTAGTAACCATTAGCCACACATGGCTATTTAAAGTTAAATGTATTTAATTTAAATCAAATTTAGAATTCACTTCCTTAGTCAGAGTGGCCACATTTCAAGTGTTCAGTAGCTGCCTGTGGCTAGTGGCTACTAAATTGGACCTTGTAGCTAGAGAACATTTCCATCATCACAGAAAGCTCTATTTGTGCTTCTCTAGCCTGCTAAGCCTGTAATCTTTCTTTTGGTATGCAGCTCTTCTAGAATTCCCAGTTTCTTTAAAAAGGCAATTAATCATTTTGTGTTTTGTAAATAAGACCTAGATGAAGTGGTTGATTTTGTCTAACTCAAAATTTTTAGGCAAAGAAAAGAAAGTTGACAGAGCTAGGCCCCCAGGACTGATTTTTTTTTTCTTCTGGAATGCCTAGAATCTTACTGTTCTGCCTCTGTTATGTGTATACTTACAATTCTATTCCTCACCTTTACTTATTCAGATGTTGCAAAGTGTTATCCAGTCATTCTATTAATATAACTAGAACACAGGGTGCCATCTCAGTGGCTAACATGTCATTGCTAGTTACTTCTAGAAGTTTCCATTCTTAATAGAAACTTCTATTTTTCTTTTCTTTTTTATCAATTTCCATTTCTTAAGGTATTTTGAAGAGAATAAACTTTCCAGCCTTCTGGAATGCAGTCTAAATTAGAAAATAAATTACTGGGAGCATATTGGTCTACCATGAAACATGGACTCTGGAATTCATTCTGAAATCAATGATAAACTAATGATTTTGGCTTCAGGACTAGCTATAATGAAAAGCATCGTTAGTGTTTGTAGAATAAATTAAGTGATGAATCTTTCTATAAGTGTTGACATGTATTGTGATATGATTCTGGTTTCCTTTCCCAGAGAGAGCAGTTGCTTATTTTGAAACAACTGACCAGATTATAGACAATGAAGATGATGTCCTTATTCAGAAATCATCCTGCAAAACCTTCTGCCACTATGTAAATGCTATTAATACTGCACCCAGGAACATTGGGAAGGATGGCAAATTCCAGATTTTAGTTTGCCTCGGAACACGGTACAAAGCCAGTTTCTTACTTTCTCTATCTTTGTTACATGTTGAACAGGAATCCAAAAATGGTTATACCAGATTACACCCCTTGCAAAGTTCTCACTTGGGTTTCTTTCATTCTAAGTTTTATTAGACGACTACTACTTTTGGGGTGCTTATATGTGTTGGGCAGTCTTCTAAGTATTTTACCTATATTATCTCATTTAATATTCCCGTCACTTCACCACCACCACTACATGGGGTAGCAATTGCTTTCCCCATTTTATAGATGAGAAAATAGATAAGGTAATTTAGCAAACTTTCCCAAGGTCATATCCAGTCCCACTCCAGAGCCCAGCTCTCAGTCATTCCTCTGTACTGGCTCCAAAGGTAGATAGATAGGTAATAGGAAGGTTGGTAGATAATTAGACACACCAACATATGCACGTGCATGTATTTACTATGTAGACCTTGTATAGTGTATATATAGCACCATATTGCTTTAAATTTAATAACAATTAATAGATTCTTGCTATATAAATGTCACCTTCTATTTAAGACTATTTCCTACCCTTTTGTTTTTAAAAAAAGATACATAGGAGCTATAAAGTCCATTAATTTTAAAGTAGCTATCAGCATTGTAGAAAATGAAACACACAGACATTAGAAGTTGGTTTTTTTTTTAAGTTATCCATTTACTGTTTGTTTTTTCCTAAACCTTGAGATCCCAAAACTGAGATTCAGGATGGCCTGGTTGGGGATGCGCAATAAAGATGTCTTAGGTACGCAGCAATAGATTACCAATGTCAGAGTCTGATCAGGAAACATTGAAGATGTGAGATTTTGTCATCCTGAAACAGCTGGTTTACAGAACTGAGTTCTGCATTTCTTCTTAATAAAAGGGGCCCAATTTTAGATGTGCTTTTGAAGTTCCTTTTGAGCATGATCTTTATCTCCTTTTATCTCTATACTGTTGTGATTTATTAGACCACTGCAAACCTTCTTCTGGTTTATACAATCCTACTTAATATTTTTTCTGCTTTGATTTTGTTCCTTACCTTATTACGTTGTATAAGGTAAAAAAAAAAAAAAAAAAAAAAATGCAAATCCCTACTATTTAATGTAGTCTTTCTTCTAAAAGGTCAGTATACTCTGGCATGCCTTGCCATAGAATAATGGTCCTATAGAAAAAAGACATAGAAAATGACATTCTGCTTCTTTTTAAAGGTAGTAAAATCAGAATAGAGAATGTCTTTAATGTGTGTAGATTTTGTAATATACTTTTAGAATGTAATGGGTTTTCTCTTTAGCTTTACACTGTCTCATTGCTGTCTTTTCGCCAGTAAATATCCAACTTCTTGGCTTTGGTTTTCTCTCTCCTGACCGCATAGCCACATTTTGTGCCACCCAGCCCCACACCTTCCCAGTTGAACACGGCTCTGTGTGCCCTGCCCTGCAAGTGAGGCCAGAGTGCTCAGGACTTGTTTCTGTTTGGGTCTGTAGGGACCGCCTGCTCCCACAGTGGATCCCGTTGCTGGCCGAGTGTCCTGCCATTACTCGAATGTATGAGGAGAGCGCCCTCCTGCGAGACCGCATGACCGTCAACTCCCTCATCCGGATTCTGCAGACCATTCAGGATTTCACCATAGTCTTAGAAGGCTCACTCATCAAAGGAGTGGATGTGTAATCCAACTGGCTAGAAACTCTCAGTCCAAACCTTGCTCCTAAACCTTCCCCAACTATGGGAACCGATTTGGGCTTGTCTGACAGTAGAGAGTCACTATGAGGGGGCAGCCCACCTTATGCCCCAATCTGAACAATCCTCCCTCTACAGACAAGGCAAAATGTTGTATTGTAGTTCATTTGAACCAGAATTTAGTATAAAATAGAGTATTTTCATGTGTTAGATGTCTGTAAATACGCTATCTTCTTTAAGAAATTATATTACTCTAATAAGATGCTTTTCTTAGATTGAATATTCCTGTGACTTAAAATAAGTAGCTTCACAATGTTGGGGTTGTGGGAGAAGAGTGGTGCTAGTCAGGAAGAAGCCAGTAAACATGTAAATACAGTACAACCCAGTCGGGCCTTTTTTCCACCCAGGTATCACAAAGGAACCCAGAGAGCATTGTCATGTGTGGCCATCCATCCTGGTGTCTGATCCTTTGTATCATGAATGTATACAGCTTTACCTACTGTATGGGTAGTCTTCACTGGTATCTTTTAAGTTAAAAGCTGTTTTATACATTTGCATTGTGAGTCACTTTTCCAGTCTTTTGGATAAATTTTTAAGTCGGCACAAAATGAAGATATAATTCAAGCATTTTAAATACTAGACCCCAGGAGCTTGGCTGAACTAGAAAGAGAACACACAAAGCCCTGAGAAGTGTGTTAAATTGTGGGATTATAACTTCTTTACACTTTGGAAAGATTAGCCTAGACTAACTTCATTCTTGGCATTTTTATTTTTGTTATTTGAGGTACTTTGGGGAAATGTGAATGTCAAAATGTTAGACTCATAGTCATAAGAACCGCAAGCAGCAATTTGATTCTGTACTTTTAATTTGGCCATCTAAAGTCTGCAGTGGCCTTTACCTCTTCAGGGTAACCAAGAGGCCTGTCTTTGTGAGGTTCCAGTCGTCCCCCGCCATCCGTGCCCATCCCCCCTCAGGAAATGGAAGGAATGTCTGAGGAGGAGGAGGGCTCTGGGTGGCTTGGAATGTTTTTGTGAAAGTATTTGTTGACCATGATAATGCAAATAACAGAAGGAAAGAGAAAGAATGAACCCTTTCTGGGTGTTTCAGAGCAAGCTTTATGTTCCTTTGTAAGAAGGGGTAATAATGTAAAACAACTGACCCAGAGAAGTTAAAAGCCACTGCAGCACAGCCTGACAAAATGGAAGCAAAGCAAGAGGCAACAATTTTGAAAGACCAAAAGGTGTGAGTAACTTTCCAGTTTGCTATTTTATAAAGAATTTCAGTTAAATGTAGTGTAGGCTAGTTACCTTAAGTCTTCATCTTCTGGTAGGTCCTGTAACTCTAATTAGGCATTTGCACATTGTTAGCAGCAAAATCACCTCAGCAGAGCTCCAGGTTTTTTTCTTAGTTGTGGCTGAGCAGCGAAGCTATAGCCCAGAATCCATGTGCAGTCTGAGGGTCCTGGGCTTTTGCCAACAGTGTTGTTTCCTTTATTTCTTGGAGGAAGAAACTAATGAAACAAGTGCCTCACTCCCTTTATCAAACACTGTATTCAGCCAAGAAACAGTCCCTTTTAACATGTGACTTCCTACTTGAGGAAAAGGGGAGCTGATGGCTGGATTTAGAAACACATAGAAATGGTTTAAAAAGATGGTTCTGGGTGACCTGGGTAGACCAGAGACTTGTTTGCCCAAAGCTAAAGTATGTCTACAGTGGTGTGGCTGTTCCAGGGACATTGTCAGTCTATCACAGTGGATAGCCAGAACTCATGTCACACTGGGCCCCTACTATAGAGTGGTTCAGCCCAGGATTTCGTTCTTCGTTCTTGTTATCTTTTTCATAAGAGCATGCTTCTGACATGGGCAACCAGAGAGATCACTTAGGTTAGTATGCTAGAATTGCACCATCTAGTCCAGCCTTCTCACTTTATAGATGGAAACATGTAAGGATCAGGGAGATCAAATTCTTACCCTCACCCCACAGCTGGTCATTGACAACAAAGGGTCTAGAATTCATGGGTTTCTTATTATACCAGGCTGCGTGAGACTGACCTAGGCATTCTTTCTACTGTTGGATCTTTATTCATCCATCTACACAGGCAGGAAATAAGGATTAACATTCATTTAAAAGGATTTATATTCATTTTAACACATTGCTCTGAAGTTATTGGGAATTATATCTGTTGTAAAAACTGGGAGCAAAATTGGATTTGAGGCCTGTGAATAAAATTATTACTTTAAAAAGTAATGCAAAAAAAAATACCTACAGTATCATCTTCATACTTTGTGTAGTATGACTATAACAGTGAAATGATTGACAAAAAGACACCTCAGAACTGACACATCCTCTCAGATGCTAGGCCCCAGTGATGCCACCATGCTCTGAACACCTGGGGCCCTCCTTGTGAGCTGCCTGATTGGCCTACACCCCATTCTTCAGAATATACCCAATGGTGGTAAATCTTGGCCTTTCAGAATATATTTAATATTTGGAAGCAACATTCCTTAGGATCCAAATTTAATGACTAAAAAGGATGCTTAAGCTGAGTTTAAGGTCACGTAAGAAGTACTATTATAAAGAAATAAGGCTTAGTTGTTATGTGGCTTATAATTGTCTCTGAGTCAATACCAAAATATTGTGAACACAACAGTAGCAGAATGCTTAGAATAAACATATGTAACCTTTTAAGCTGACTTTTGGAAGGACCATCATATAGAAGTATCCTTTCTGCTATGGTAATTTTTTAAATTAATATATTGCCTTAGGATCACACCTCAAAGTGGAAGTAAATAAAAATCAAAATTTTAATTTATTTTACTCCAAATAACTTAAAAGTAAATGCCTGGGACCATACTTAGTATTTTTGCTTAATAATAGCTTGAGAAAAAATTGTTTTAAAATTATATTGCCAAAAATATTACTTTTTTTTTTTTCTTGAGACAAGGTCTCTTTCTGTTTCATGGGCTAGAGGGCAATGGCATCATCACAGCTCACAGCAACCTTAAACTCCTGGGCTCCTGTGATCCTTCTGTCTCAGCCTCCGGAATAGTTGGGGCTACAGGCACATGGCTTCACACCTGGCTAATTTTTCTATTTTTTGTAGAGATGGGGTCTCACTATGTTGCCCAGGCTGGTCTTGAACTCCTAGCCTCCAGCAGTCCTCCACCCTTGACCTCCCAAAGTGGTAGGATTATAGGCTTAGTGAGCCACTGTGCCTGGCCCCAAGTGTTTTTCATATGTCCTGAAATCCCTAATCTCACCCTTTGTGAACACAGTGGCATTGTACCCATATTGGTATCACGTGTGAGATCTGTGCCCTGGTCAGAAGTCATTAGCGCCTTAAAAATGAGACTCAGTGTGAAGTAGTAAAATGGAGTTCTCGGTGGGAAAAGGCTGCTAGGGAGCACAGAAATAAATACTCCCACCTACTTCCCATTGGGAATGAGAATTTGATGTAGGAAACCTAGAATTTGGAAAAGTTTGGATTTCCCTCTAAAATTTATTTTAAATGTTTCACACATTTTTCTACGTTTTTAAACCCTGTGTTAATTACTTTAACATGGTTTTTTAAGAAACAATCATTTTCATGAACTTCTGTCATACTATATTAATGATAATAGGGGAAATACTGAATTGCTCTTATTTTCTTTTTTGGCAATAATGCACTGTTGTATGTAAATTAAGTTACAAAGAAAGGTTAAGACTATACATAACATTTCCAGTGTGGCACATCTGATGAAATTTTTCTTAAAAGAAAAAAGGCTATACATAACAGCTATGTGTAGTATATATTGACAGCCCTAAAATATTTTGAAACATGAGGCAACAGACGAGGACATCAGATCCCCAGGGAAATATTTCTTTGACAGCATTGGGAGTGTAGCTCTTCATAGTGAAATACCTTCTGTCTGCTAAAAATTATGGTTTTTCAATAGATTTTTCATTTAGGAACTGTATTTTCTGTGATGTTTACAGAAACTAGTTTTCCTTTTCACTATGTTGAGAGGACAGTCTGAAATTTAGCTATTTATATTTCAGTATTAACGTACCTTCACTGATTGAGAGTCTTGAGCCCTTCTCTACTTTTATAAAGTGAATGCTATTTCCAAGTCATCTGTGTCTCTTGAAGTCTCTGTTTCTTATATAAGTATTTATTACATTACCATTTAGCTTAAATAGACAGAAAAGAATAATAAACTAGTAGGTCCCTTATTCCTTTTAAAATACACTTATAAATCTCTTGAATCAACTGAATGCCAAGCTTTTTGGAGAGGTTGCTAATGTAATATGATCAAAAGTAACAAAGGAGAACTTCATTCTCCAAAATCTTATTAGAGCTGATTGTCCTCTCAAGGACAAGATAAAGATTGGCTTCAGAAAGGTATCACATTAAGCTACTACAGTGAAAAAAATTCATCAACTAAGATTTTTCCCCATTTGAAGGGATCCAGGGTATCCTTGGGTTATGTAGGCGGGAATCATGCCTGGTCCAATTACTTGAATGTACTTGTGTGGATCCTGTCTTTATTCTGAACACCAAATCTTGTTAACAGTAGAGAGGTATAGTAAGAAGTTTCTGTTGTCAATCAAATGAGGGTGTGAAACATAGAAAAAATCCTCTGTGTTACACTTGAACCATGTATAAATGTATGTTCTGTATCATTTTTAAAAGTTAGCATTTCTGCATTTAAATTATATTGTTTTTCTTTGTATTGTTAACAAAATGCATCAGAACTGGATTTTTTTTCTCATCTGAACACAATATAAAGTTTAAAAAGTATTGTGATATGAAGCACTTTAACATACATATCAGACAAACTGACGTGGGTTTTTCAGGTTTTGGAGTACATTTAAATAAGACTTTTCATGCTTTGTTCTTTACAAATAAAACTGTGGGGTTGATACTTTGTTTATGCTTCATTATTGTAGAATCTTGGTACTGAGTGTTTCACAGAGCAAGAGACTTCAGAAGGCAAAGAGATAAAAATAAAACCATTATGTAGTAAAAATATAACCTGCTCAGGAACTGGTCATCCAGAAGGGGTAAAAAAATTGAACCCTACCTCACACACTATAAAGAAAAATCAATTCTTGGTGGCTTAACAACCTAAATATTGGCTGGGCACAGCAGCTCATGCCTATAATACTAGCACACTGGGAGTCCAGGGTAGGAGGATCAGTTAAGGTCAGCAGTTTGAGACTAGCCTGGGCATCATGGTGAGACCCCATCTCTATAAAAAGTAGACAAATTATACAGGTGTGGTGGCGTGTACCTGTAATCCCAGCTACTCAGGAGGCTGAAGCAGGAGGATCACCTGAACCCAGGAATTTGAGATTACAGTAAGGTGTGATGACACCACTGCACTCTAGCCTGGGCAACTGAGTAAGAGCCTGTCTCAAAAACAAAACAAACGAAAGAACAACAACTATCATCCAGGGCTCCAGGCCATGAGAAACAACAAACAAACAAACAAAAAACCCTAAATGTGAAAGGCAAAGCAAAGTTTTTTACAAAAAAAAATATGGACTATATTTATGAACTTGGAAATTTCATTTTTTTTTTATTTCAATTACTTTTTCTTGAGGCACCATACCTAGAATGGAAACTTTCTTAAATAAGACACTTAAAACCAACTATAAAGGATAAGTATGATAAATTTATCTTAAAATTAAGAATTTCTCACTGGGTGTGGTGACTCTCACCTGTAATTCCAACAACTTGAGAGGCTAAAGTGGGAGGATCACTTGAGGCCAGGACTTCAAGAGCAGCTAGGGCAAGACCCCCTCTCTAAAGAAAAATTTAAAGCCAAGACCCCTTCTCTAAAGAAAAATTTAGCCAAGTGTGGTGGCACATGCCTATAGTGCCAGCTACTCAGGTGACTGAGGCAGGAGGATCACGTGAGCCCAGGAATTCAAGGCTGTGGTGAGCTATGGTGGCACACCACTACACACTAGCCTGGACAACAGAGCAAGACCCTGTCTCTAAAAAGAAAAAAAAAATTCTGGTCATCAAACTATACCATTAAAAGAGAAAAACACAAGCTACAGAAGCAAAAATATTTTTAATCCATAAACTATGATCAGTATGTAATTTGAAAATGATTAGGTCCATAGTAAAAATAGAAGGCAAAGATTTATTGATTCAGCAAATGAACACGGATTGATTATCTACTATGTGTTAAGCATTGCTTTAGGTTATGGGTATACAGCAGTTTAAAAATGCACATCAGGCTGGGCGTGGTGGCTCACGCCTGTAATCCTAGCACTTTGGGAGGCTGAGGTGGATTGCTCAAGGTCAGGAGTTCAAAATCAGCCTGAGCGAGACCCCGTCTCTACCAAAAATAGAAATAAATTAATTGACCAACTAAAAATATATATACAAAAAATTAGCCGGGCATGGTGGCACATGCCTGTAGTCCCAGCTACTCGGGAGGCTGAGGCAGGAGGATCGCTGAGCCCGGAGATTGAGGTTGCTGTGAGCCAGGCTGACGCCACGGCACTCACTCTAGCCTGGGCAACAAAGTGAGACTCTGTCTCAAAAAAAGTAAAAAAATAATAATAATAATAATAATAATAATTATTATTATAGTACTTAGATATTATTAAGAGTAAAGAAGAGGGATTGAAAGTATGATTGGGGCTGCAGGGAGATAGATTACAATTACGAACGGATTAGCCAGGGAAGGTCTCACTGAAAATGGAGTGGCCTTTAACTGAAATTGGAAAAGGTGTAAGAGAAACAAGTTTGTGGGAGGAGCATCCAGAGCTTGCTTTTGGTCATATGAGTTTGAAATGCTTTTAAGACCCCTGTTAGACATTGAAATAGGGATACTGAGTAAGCAGTTGCATGTATGGATTGGAAGTTCGGGGGAGAATAATGATGTGTTTGTCAGGGTCCAATCAGGAGACAGAAGCCACACAACAATTTGAACAGGGGTAGTTTAATGTAAAGAATTATGTATTAGAGTTCTCCAGAGACAGAACCAATGAGAGGAGACAGAACCAACGAGAGAAAGAAAGAGAAAGAGAAATTTATTTTAAGGAATTGGCACACACAGTTGAGGCTTGAGGAGTCCAAAATCTGCATGGTAGGCCATCAGGTTGGAGAGCAGGGAAGAGTTGCAGTTGGAGTCCAAGGGCAGTCTGCTGGCAGAATTTCTTCTTGCTAGGTTGCTGGGCGGTGGGGAGTCACTCTTTGTTATATTAAAGCAGGGGTCCTCAAACTTTGTAAACAGGGGGCCAGCTCACTGTCGTCAGACCGTTGGAGGGCCGTTGGAGAGTGCGGTGCACATTCCACACATGCGCACTGTGGGTCAGGGACAAAGTCGGCTGCTAAGCAGGACAGGCAGCGGTGGCAAAAACACCTGGCGTGTGGCCCTCGGGGCCGTAGTTTGAGGACCCCTGTATTGGGGCCTTAGCTTATCAGATGAGGCCCACCCACGTTATAGAGGGTAATCTGCTTTCCTGAAAGTCCACCAATTTAAATGTTAATCTTGGCCAGGTGCAGTGGCTCACGCTTGTAATCCTAGCATTCTGGGAGGCCGAGGCAAGCGGATTGCTCAAGGTCAGGATTTTGAGATCAGCCTGAGCTAAGAGCCAGACCTGTCTCTACTAAAAATAAAAATTAATTGGCTGGGCATGGTGGTGCATGTCTGTAGTCCCAGCTACTCGGGAGGCTGAGGCAGGAGGATTGCTTGAGCCCAGGAGATTGAGGTTGCTGTGAGCTAGGCTGACGCCACAGCACTCACTCTAGCCTGGGCAACAAGGTGAGACTCTGTCTCAAAACAAAAAAAATAAATATTAATCTTATCCAAAAAACACCTTCATAGTAACATCCAGAATAATGTTTAACCAAATACCTGGGCACCCTGGCCCAGCCAAGTTGGCAAATGAGATTATCACAAACAATAACAAGAAATTGGGATAATGGCAGATTTGTTGCCAAGCAATTTTAAAAA